GGGGGGGGGGGCTTTTCCTGTCGCCGCAGCTATTCCGAAGCGCCCGTTTCTCCCCCACCCCGCCCGCCCGCGCGCGCGCGCTTCAATCCACAGTGTCCCGTTCTGCCTGCCTGCCTTAGTTTCTGGTTGTTTGGGAGCAGCTTCGGCTGAGAATAATAACTATTCGCCTCTTTTACTCAGCCGAAGCTGTTCCGATTCAACCATTAACGAAGGCAGGCAGGCAGGCAGAACGGAGCACTGGGTTGAACCCCGCGCGCGTGCGCGCGGGCGGGCGGGCGGACGGGGTGGGGGAGAAACGGGCGCTTTGGAGGCGCTGCGGCGACAGGAAAAGCCCCCCCCCCGCTTCTTTGAAGCAGTTTCTTCCTGGGCTGGTGGAGGAGCGAGAGAGCGACTGAGAGAGCTGACCCAGAGAGAAGGACAGGCTTCGGTTGCTTCCTCCCTCCCCTTCTTTCATTTGTGTCCTTGATCCCCGATCCCAGCAGCATTCACCAAAGGTGAAGAAAGCCGCCATTTTTTTTAAAAAAAAAATTCTTTGCGGCCCGGTAGAGAGTGCTCTACGGCCCGGTACCGGTCCGCGGCCCAGTGGTTGAGGACCCCTGGTTTAATGCATATATGAGCGCAACTTCTTCAAAGAACTTGTCCTAATGCTGATATATAGTATCAGCACACCTGATAACCTTAAAATAATAGGAGAAAAGCACAGAATCAGTAGAGATATAATAGGAAGCTCTGAGTAAGTGCAGCAAGAAATTAAAGGACGATACATTTTCTTTCCCATTTCTGTGCTTCATTTATCTGCATACTTCATTTTGAAAAAAAACAGGAAATATAACTATACTCCACTTGTTAAGATGCTTGCCTCAAGTCAGATTTAGAAGAAAGGAATCAAAGTATCTGATTGGTGTTTGAGCCCCTCCATTTGAACCTACCAACACCAGAAAGCTCTATCTGAAGATAATCTCACAGAGCCATATAACAGTCAATTTCTCTCCCTTCAATAATCCTTTCCACTCAGGACTTGTCCACTCAGGAAATTGCATATTGCAGAGGATTCTGAAACTTGTTAAAATATGCATGTACTTCCCTAGCAAGTTTTTTTTTTGCTACCATTCCTTCATAACTTAACTATGGAACAATTTTAGTAGTGCACATTGCAAAAAAGATTATTAACCTAGACAAGAAATTGCTTTCCTGAAAAAATCAATTTCACAGAGGCAGGCAATCTAATGAGGTGTGTGGTTCTGGGCTCCCAGGTGCTGCACTATACAAATGCATTATATTAAAACCTTCATCCTTGAGCAGTTTTTCCAGAAAAGCCTTGTCAACATAGAGCTCTCCCAGGAGCTGTCGTTCCATCTTCTCATTCCTCACGGGGGCCTGTTGTTTACTTAAGTACTTTGCATCCTTTTTGATATGGAGTTTCTGCTTTGCTTTTTTACTCTGTCATAAGAAAAGAAAAAAATAATTTACAAGGTCCTTTTTTAGACTTCTCCTTTCTCTGTAGCATTATTTCTTCAGAAAGAAACAAAAGGAGCCCTGGAACATAGCAAAGCTGTTTCTCAAACTGAATAGATCCAGGAGCATAGATTAAAACAACTGAACATTTCAGATTGAGATGGAAAGAGGGTTTCTACAACTTGAGAGGTTTGGGATAATGTGATTAAAAATTCAAGAACTATTTCAATCCATGCTCTCATGTAGCATGGTGATTCAGGGTATGAACTGTAAACACAGAAGGCCTTGTTTTACGCATTCAAGTACTTTACTATGCAACTTCCTACAAAACAACGATTGAAGGACAATAACAATATTCCTCTATTTTATAATTTTTGTCTAGATGCTTAGCTAATGCATATGAAGCTATTTAAACAGTTGGCAAGTATAAACAGAAATAGATAAACATTTGGTACTTTAAAGATCCAATTTAGATGAAGGAAATTTAGGAATAAGACTGGAACATTCAAAATGTAGGCAAAGTGAACGATGTTTAAAGTGTGATTATTATTTTCATGACCTTCTGTCCTGACATTGTTGGGTCCTACATGGTGAATTCTATATTTTTGATGGAATATTATATATTACTGATCAAGTATAGGCAATACAATACAATAGACTACTGTAGCCTACCTAGATAATATATCCCCAGCATCATCACTAGTATCCAACGCTTAGGAAATTGTTGGCTAACGAAGAGATCAAGTGACTCAGGAAAAATAACAGATCAAATATCAGCTCATGCAGAAACAAGTAATAAGCAAATAGTGATTTTAATATTTTTTTAAAAATATTAACAGTATAAACTATTTAAAATGGATAGGATGAAAGTAGTTTTCAGGAGAATGAAGATATTGCTACTGGTCTCACATATTATGGTTCGAGAAAATGAATGAACTGCAAAACCCCACCGATCTTATTATCTAACACATCCCAATACCCTGAAACCCATTCCATTTTTCTATTTACTCCTAGAATAGGCACAAAATAATCACTTTGGAAAAAAGCTGGAGAGACCATACCTCTGCCTGGCGACTCAGAAAGCAGAGGTCCGCTCTATTCTCTAGTCTCACGGATGATGGGCCTACAGACAGAGAAGATACCAAGAGGTCAGGAATGCCCTACAACAGTGATCCCCAACCTTTTTGACGCCGCGGCCCGGTACCGGCATCAGCTGGGCGCCGCGGCCCGGTACCGGCATCAGCTGGGCGCCGCCATCTTTTTTTGATGAAAA